AATTCAAATACAGTAAGTGCAAGTTTCGTAGTGATTTTACATGTTAATAAGTTGTAAATCTCTTGAAATATATGATAGAAATTGTAAGTCTTATGAAATATATAAATAAAAAATATATAAACTTGTATAATATTTTAAATTTTGTCAAACACGCTTTTAGAGTTCAAAAATCAACAAAAATCTTGCTATTAAGCAAAGAGAGACGTCGACACTAGTGATTGGTTGATAGTTTGACAAGTTGATTAAAAAAAAAATCTTATTTTTATTTGATTCAAGAAATATATAGCTCATTTTATAGAGCTTAACATTGACCAAAAGCAATTTTATCACTTCGTTCGCGCAAAATTTACATACGTGTTATACTTACCTTGTAATTTACCCAAAGACCAAACAATTATAAATCATCGAAATGTATGATTCAACAACTTTTCAAGAAATTCATCACACTAAAACCCTAAAAATACTGCCATGATCATCAAGATTTGGTTGGTCTCATGATCATCATCATGAAGACTAAACGTGGAGAAATCAACACGTGGCAGACAAAAACTAGGGTCTCAAACAGTGAATCACTCAAGTGTGGGTGAAACAGAGAAACTTTGAACACAAGTCTTAAATAAAACTAAACAAATCCTTTCCTTAATTTTTGCTTTAAGAATAGAAACCTCCTCTATCATGACACATTTCTGTTAACACACAGATTTTGCATCACGAGACTATCAACTTTTGGGGCCACAAAAGATTTGTATATTTTCAATGGACCCCACAAGATTTTTAAATATTTGTTTGTGGGTCCAAAATCTTGGATCTATCTTTATATCATGTCTCTATTAGTATAATTACTTAAGATTGTTGATCTTGATTTTTCAATTTCCAAATTAGATCTTTTTTTTTTATTCAACGTGATTTTCTCCGTTCTTTCTTGACATGCAAGGTTGATGTGAATTAAAGAATACTAAGAACCAAGAAAAAAGCAAATTAGTCTTGTTTGTGCAAGCTTAAAAAACTTACTTATAAGTAAATTTTAAATTACATACTTTTTTACTCGTCAACGTTTAATTAAATAAATCGATATAATATTTCAAAGTATATATCCTAACAATTTCGAAACCATAAAGTTATATATATATAAACTTTGACAAATATACATGCATGCCTAGGTCAAGTATATTTTGAGCTAAAGCAATATCTCAGCCTCATTGAGCAAAATTTATAAATTAAATATTTAATTTTATTTTCAACACATTTCAATGGATTCACAAGTATTTTTCACTTATTTATTGCTCATTTTATCTATTTATAAATTAATGACATTTATCTATTCTACCAAATCGTAGGCTTAATTTGGTAGATAATCACTTTCCAAAGTCATCGCCAAATCAATTTGAGATTATTATGTTAGACAAAATGAGCACAAAGAATCTTTTTGTTTTTCCTTGATATTCAATCCCAATATATTCTTTAGCAATCAACCCTAAATCCCAAAAAAGGGATGAAATTTGAAAAAAGCAATACATCCAAAAGAAAGCAAGAAAATAAAGTGAGGGTCCCACAGGCGGAAGGAATGGAGGAAATCACCATGAGTAGTTGTACCAACACGGTGTCGGAATTAAGACAACCTGGTTAAAAACACATGTACAACATTTTCTGCACACGTAGGTTTTACTTATCAACTCCTTAATATAAGAACCTGCGAACAAATAGCATGCACACACATTACACACACTGAAAGTTGAAATTTTGATCAAGAAATAGAAGGGTTTTCATTTTAGAGAGCATATGGATTTAAATTCCGAAGCTGATCAGAATATAAGATATGAGCAAGAACAAGAAGAAGACAAAAAACAGCATTTTCATGTGTTGGCAGTTGATGATAGTAATATTGATAGAAAGCTCTTGGAAAGGCTTCTTACTGTTTCTTCTTATCAAGGTAATATTCGAGGGCTCGACGGTACAATGAATAAACTATAGCTTCTTTTTCGCTATCAATATCGTCCAATACTATCTAGTCGATCTTAATTACCAAAGATAAATTGGGTTGTTCTTGTAATAATGCAGTTACATGTGTCGATTCTGGAGATAAGGCTTTAGAGTATCTGGGGTTGCTTGATATTGAAGAGAGTGAATTTTCAAGAACATCAATTTCTTCAACCAGATCATCCCAGAAAGAGGTAAGAAGTATACCCTAAGCATAATCAACTACGTCGATCATTTTCTTGAGGTGAGATTGGTTATAGGGTTGTTTGACAAAGATTTTGATAGAAGATTTAACAAATCTTCATAAAATATAAAATTATAAAGTTAATAAAAGTTGTGAATCTCATGAATTCATAAAGTTTTATTGATTCCTGTTTCTGATATAAACATGTTTTCAGGTATCAAAAGTTAACCTGATCATGACAGATTATAGCATGCCAGGCATCACTGGTTACGATTTGCTCAAAAGAGTCAAGGTTAGACCGCCAAACACAAAATCTAATTATAATTTTATGCATATATGGTATGCAATACTAGATTGACATGCTCAATAAAAATTTTACTTCTTTTTCTCGTTAATATTGTCCACAATCCACTTAAGTTGTTCAGTGCGTTGAACAAGATATATAAGTTTGGACACGAAAACTTTTTTTTTTTTTTAGTTATGTCAATATTGTCGACACAGCATAATGAACACATCCTTGATTCATTTTATAAGTTCTATAACAAATTATACAATATTTCCAAAGTAGAGAGAAAATTATTTCCCTTTTACTATTAACTTAATTTATTTACCTTTTTACAATCTACTTATTGTTTTTCCTCCTTTTCAAAGAACACGGTCTTTCATTGTGGAGACAAAGCAACAGCAAAAAATCACTTTAATTTAAAAAGTAATTAATTTTGAAAGAAAAGTTTGTAATACTACAGAAGACACTGAATATATATATATGAAAAATATTATATTGTTTATTAATCATGATCTTTATAACTTTCTAAGTGGCCATTGAAATTTCTTTGGTGTAGGGATCTTCTTGGAAAGATGTCCCAGTTATAGTCATGTCATCTGAGAATATACCATCAAGAATTAACATGTAAACGCTCATCTCTTTTTTATCCTATTGAACTATATATTTACTTGCTATTTAATTATTCCTTTTGAAAAGTTGATAAATGGCACACCACCATTATGTGACAGACACATCAACGGCTTTAATTAGTTTGCTTGCTAAGAATCTAGTTCCGTAAATCTAGCAATAATCTCAATAGAGTGATGAAAAAGAATTCAAAGGCCTTTTAAACAATTCCAAGAAACAGCTTTAAATGTGTTACAAGATGAAATAATAGCTCGTCTACTAAGAATCTAATTATTTTGAATAATGTTATTCGCAGTGAAAACCGTCGGCAGTGGTCCTATGTGGCATACACTTGGCAGTTTTTCATTTGATGTATAATTCAAAAAATAACTATCATATCTATGTATCAAATATCAAATTGTCAAATATATACCACATAAGACGACTACTGACAATTTTCACTACGAATAACATTACTCAATTATTTTGGATTATTTCATAAGTCTAGTAAATGAAATAAGTGCATTTATGTGTTGACATAGTGGAGATTGCTCTTACCCTTAAAGTCAACAAAAGTGGCTTTATAGCCAACATCTCTTCTACTTAAAAGTCATTTTATTGCAACCTTTGTATTCTTGAATCTAGTTCGGTAAATCTAGCAATAATCTCAATAGAGTGATGAAAAAAGAATTCAAGGACTTTTTAAACAATTCCAAGAAACATGTCAAGTAGCTTTAAATGTGTTATCTACTAAGAATTTAATTATTTTTCCATAATGTTATTTGCAGTTATTTACTGTCGTAGTCGCTATACGTGACATACATGTGGTGATTAGTGATTTGATACATTAATGTGATAGTTTTTTATTACTTAATGTAACAATTACTGATCGTCACATGTATCCCAAATATGACGAATACGATAATAAATAACTACAAATAACATTATTCAATTATTTTAAATTGTTCCATAAGTCTAGTAAATGAAATAAGTGCATTTATGTGTTGATATAGTAAGATTGCTCTTACCCTTAAAGTCAACAAAAGTGGCTTTATAATCAATATTTCTCCTACTTAAGAGTCATTTTTGTGTGACCCTTGTATCTTTGAATCTAGTTCCATAAATCTAGCTATGCAATTTCACGAAACACGTCAAGTAGTTTTAAGCCCTTGTTTGAGCCCCACCCTTCTTAAAATTTATTTTTTAATATTACAATCAAATCAAAAAATTTTCTTTAATTTTTAACCACATTCCCCATCAATCTACTCTTTATAATGCATTATTTTTCTCTAAAATGGGACTCAAAAGGGTCAAATATATTACAAGATGAAATAATAGCTTGTCAACTAAGAATCTAATTATTTTTTATCATTCGATAAGCCTAGAGATGGCGACGAGGAGGGTATGGGACGGGTCGACCATTCCCACCCCACCCCCGCCCCGTCAAGTATTTTTGTTATCTTATCCCATATCTATACTCGTACCCAATTAGTTTTATTAATCTCAATTTTTTAAGCCTATTCAATTAAGTTTGGCTAGTTTAGCTGATGTAAATAAACCAAAGTTTTCAAGATCAACTCAATTAATTGAAAGGTGGCTCAAACAAGATACCATAAACCAAGTCGATGAATTTAAAATTAACTTTGAGGAACCTAAAACTTGCCATGAACTAGTTCTTTCTTGATTATCCACTACGCATAGATTTTGCTGATACATCAACGTATTTTAATTGTAATTATACAGGTGTTTGGAAGGAGGAGCAAAAGAATTCCTGTTGAAACCCGTTAAATTAGCAGATTTAAGGAAACTTCATTCCCACCTCCTTAATACAACTAACATTAATGACACCAAAGAACAGAATGACAGCATAATAGACACTGACCTCAACAACGAATATTAACAAGAGGAAGGCAACATCACCAGAAAACTCGGAAAGAAGACTCCAAATTCAAGAACTGCCTGTCCTAATTTAACAGTGATAGAATGATAGGTATATGTTCCAAGCAATGGTGTATTACCCACAAAATGGTTTGCTAGCACATGATCACAGTGTAATGTTGAAATTGAAGTGCGGAAAATTCTTGGACGAAAATTATTGTTTCTAATTTAAATTAACAAGACTGTCATCACATGATCCATGAAATTTATAAAACCTGAAACTAGCATTTGCATCCCGAACGAGATTCTTGCTTTTATTGTACATCGTATTCTAGCGGTGGGGAAATGCCGTAAAGGAGAAAGAGAGGTTAGGAGGTTTTGATCAGCAGGATAAGATTCTCATCTCAAAGCGTTCCTATATCAATTTCTTGAGATGCCAAAATCATCTGATTGTTTTCACAAAAGGACTAAATAACGATGCTCCACCTGAAATGAATTTAACCAATATTTATTAAACCTGACATGAATTTAACCAAAAGCTTCTTTCCCGCACTGGACTTCAAGTGCTATAATGATGATTTGTGTTTGAAATTTAGTTACCTAAATTACAGCTCCTCCTTTCTGGATTCTGGTTCTGCAACTACAGCTCGATTCTTCCGAATAAAATCAATCATATCTTCCTTCGTTCTATTTCCTTCGTATGGCAATATGTTTCCACTTGCTGTCTTGAAATATAACGTTGGATAACCTTTAACGTCAAAAGTTTCATTTGGGATATCATTTGCAGTAGCATCCTACAAAAGGCAGGAAAAGGAGGAATTCAGTTATTTCTGAAGTTGAAATTCAAACGAGAAATTAAGATCCGTATCACAAACATCAACTAGTTAGTAATTATAAACAAACAAATAAACAAGATTAAAGCTAGTGACATTTAACCAGATTAAATGCACTGGATGACGAGGATAGTTCTAGATGAGTGTTTTTACAATTCTCTTTTACTTCAAGACTGATCAAAGTGCAAGGACATATAAATAAAATTAGAAGTACGAAAAGTTGCAAATAACAATTGAACTGATGTGTATATGCAGTTATGGTTTCTTTTTCTAATCTAAAATTTTGCTTTCATGTTTGTAGATGATAAAAATATTGGTATCAACTGATGTATATATGCAGTTATTATAAATTAATTTTTTTTTTTCTAGTATAACATATATTTCAATGACCATTTAAGTACAATCAAACAGATTTGCCATGACCTCTATGGAAGGGAAGAAAAAACTACTAGAATCTAATTAATTATTTTGTCTAGTCCTATCTAAAAATTGATACCAAATGTGCACTTCAAGTTTATATTAGAGCTGCATATAATTAGGATGTAGCAAGAGGTGAACAGTGCAACATTTCATAACTTACCATTTCCCAAGGGTAAAATAATATTAAACTAAGGTGGCAAAATATCAAAACAATATTGTTGGTATCTTACAATTTTAGCAATGATAACATCAGGATCACTTTCAAATGATACGGCAACTTCATCCAAAATTGGAGCTAATTTTTTGCAGTGTCCACACCACGGAGCATAAAACTCCAATAGAACTGCACATAAATTAAGACGTGATGTTAAAGGAATCCACAATCTAAAAGAAAGAAAGTACAATTGAGAAATTTTCTTCCCGAATAAGAAGAAGAAATTTAAGGGCTCATTATAATGCATGCAAAAACTGAGAAAGGCATGTGCAAAAACACACACATACTCAAGTAAACTAGTACGCAAGTTAGTGACCGAGACAGAGGAAGTGTTTTGTGACATCAAATTGAGAAAAAAGAAGGAAAGAAATAAAAGAAGATCAATGAGCTTATCATGCAATCCCAAATAGTGAGATCACCGGCCATATAGTGGAACACAACTGTAACTCTTACTTGGTCATAAATGAGCAAAAAAAAAAAAAAAAAAAAAAAAACCAAAAATTTTTCCCTGAGTTGAAGACCATGTCCTGCAAGTTGTCAGCAACCACCACCTTAACAGGTTCGTTGTTGGCCTCAGGAATGGGCTCTGACTTTTTGTATGGTTGCACATTACCGTCCTTCATAAATGATTAAACAGTAGTTATTATTTAATTGCTGCCAGGAAAAAACCTACAAAAATGAGATGCTTGGCAAATGCGAGTCTTAAAAATTTATAACATTCAAGGTCCGTCCTTTGAAACCTCTTTAAAACGAAATGTGAAAATGCAAGATTGTAAAAATAAAAAACTAGTTAAATAGAAAACACCATTTTAAAAGATAATTCAAAGATACAAGGATCATCAATGCTGTGGAGAGGCTTTCATTGAAAGGCGGAGTAAAGGCCCTATTGGAAGAACTGAAGAATAATTCTTTACCGTAAAGTCCTTGACCCATGCTGCAATCTGATCAGTCTCAACATTTGGCTTTAGATATTTCTTTCCATCATTTGTTTGTATGATTATCAAAGGAACCTGATTGTCCTTAATCCCAAAATACTGATCATAGAAGCCAGCAATATGACAAGTTAGTAATGAAATGTAAGCAAAATAGCCAGTCAATCAACCAGAAGAAAATGTACAAACCTGGAAAGCACCGTGACTAGCATCGACATCACCGATAAGAAAACTTAGGCCCTTGCCCTTGAACTGCTCAGCAACATCATGATATTTTGATCGAAAAGCATCATAATGCTCACTGCTGAAGTTCAGGAATAACATTGCCTGCCATCAAAATTATAAGATATCATCAACAGTTCTCAACAATGAAACGAAAATGATATGGAGTAGATTTGTACAAGATATTCATATGGTGGTACCAAATAAAATTGTGCTACATTCCAGTTATTAAAGAAACCAGCAATAAAGAAGATAACTGCACAGTGATTGGTAGCCAGACAAATTTGATTGAATTCATTAACCAAGGCTAGAGAAATAAGGAAACAAGAAATAAAAATGTTCCTTGGGTTAGATAGACATTTTTAAAAGAACTAAATCAAGATTCTTCCTAGTTTTTTCAGGAAATTCAAAAACGTTTGATAAGTTACTAAAAATTATGAAATCCTTTCAAACACCCATCTTTAACAAGAATGTCCTTGTACCTTCGAGAAATAAGTAGAACATAAATTGTGAAAATAAATAAAATTCCAAGTTCCAAGTTGAGAAAGGAAATGATGTAAATGAATTTTAGATCTGAAATCCAACATCCCAAAGTGGATTAGACAGAATACATATCTAATTTTTGTATTAACAAATTTACTAAAAGGCCAATTCTGAGTGTTGAATTGACCACAGTATGAGAGACTCTTGTCCTTTTCTAACAAACATATATCTTTGCAATCAGAATGGGTAAACCATTTGTAGAAAGAATGAGTAGATATTTGTCAAGCGAGGGAATCTCAAACTAAATACTTGATAAAAGGTATGAAATGAATTTAAAAAAAAAAAATGACAATACATGGCGGATAACAAATAAAGGGAGAAAAATAATGCTATTTATATATTGCATAGAATTTCTTTCTTCAGCAATAACATTCTGTGCAAAATTAGTAATGATCCTAAAAAGATAAAAAGATAAAAGAAGCTTTCATTCACCTTGGAGTTGGGGCTGTTGAAGAATTTGATAACAAACGGATGGTTCTTTGGGTCATTGTTAAAGATAGTAACAGTAGGAATACTTGTTTCTTCAACAGATTTCACTAAAGTATCCACATCAAAGTCCTGCAAGCACATAAGTTTTTTTAGTTAAGAGGGCTATAATATTAGATAATTCGTAAAATATCTAGGACCAAAAGAAAAGAATAGACAACGAGCCAAAAATATGCATAAAACTAAAAAGAAATGTTATACCTTAAAATCTACAAATGGTTCATCAAAAGGCTTGAACAGCCTAACAATTGGTCCAGCTACTGATGCATCCCCACGAGGAAGGAGCTTAGCATCCAAAGTATGACCAAACTCATAGTCAGCACGCAATCTCTCAGCCAAAGTAGTGAAGTTGTCAAACTGCTCCCCAGAAAATTCAGGGAATATTCCAACCTGTAAAATTTGACAAACATGTTTTACCTCTGCATCTTACAAACTTAACTCCCACACTCGAGGATAGAGGATGGGAGAAGACTGGAAAATGACACTCACCACAAGTATCTTATTATCGTCGATCACAGAAGTAGCATCTTCAGGGGATTTAATTTCATTGGACGCAGGGCCACTTTGTTTTTTCAAATAAGTTACAATGCCGTCGGCCTCACGAGGTCCTTTATAGTCTTGAACAACACTGCCTCCATATCTCAAAATTTTAAGGGTGGGAAAACCTTGAATTTCATACTCACTGGCAAGAGGTTTATTTTTCTCCTCATTGGAATCAACTTTGGCTAACACAACTGGAGGATCATTATTGCTCAAAATAGCCGCAGCTTTCTCATACTGCAAATCCATAGAAAACACATTATATAGTCTCCAGTAACCAGAAATTCCAAGAAAAAAAATAAAAGAGAATTTCCTAACGTTTCAAGTATACATACAATATTACCTCAGGAGCGAGTTTCTTGCAGTGACCACACCTGTAACAATGTTTCAAAATATTAAAATGTAAATTAAGTAACCAGAAAAGTAAAGTAAACCTGAGAGTAACAAGTTTCTTCTAGTGCGATTCATAAACACTGAAATACAAGATTATCATTTCAATTTATTCACAGATCTGAATAAACAAAATTTCACTATAAATTAACTAGACCTTATATTGTCCACAATACCCAAGGTTCCTTCTAATTTACTAAACAACTTGCCTCCGCTTTAAAATGTTATTCATTCCTCTTTGTAGATCTTACCTTCTTACACCCCGCACCCCCCAACACCCTTTTCCTTTTTGCAAAAAAGGAAAAAGAAAAAAGAAAAAAGCACCGCATATACTTGAACATAATTAACTCTAAACAATTCCAATATGCCTTTCATTTTACTTTACATCTAATATCCGCACTATAATTCTCATACAAAAATCGTAAAACCTCAAAAATTCAAGTTAATCTATTTAAAAAAAAAACAAAAAATTACCAGGGTGCGTAAAATTCAACGACGATGAACTTATGTTTAGCTACGAAATCAGTGAAATTGGAGTGGTCTAACGTCACAACGAACTCTTTAGATTCCGATTCTTCTTCACAGATCGATCCAGTTAAAGTAAACACGATCAAGAATAAGGACATCCAAACCCTCGATAACGCCATTTAGTCTCTAAAATCTCAGCTCCAAAATATCTTCAGTTATCCTAAAGTATTTCGTGTGAAAATGTAACTCATGAATTAAGGAATTTATGTGATCATGTGCGTCGGTCACGGGCGATAACGATAGCGTTGCATTGGCATTTGCTATTGACACGACTTTGTGTATTAAATGACTATAATGCCCTTGTTAATATCCCTAGTTTGGAATATAGGCACGTGGCAAGTAGATAATTACTCTGGACTCGCTTGGATCGTGTCATCTTCTTGACGTGGGAGCATTTCATTTGTCCGACAGACATCTAAATGCTTGAGCACGTGTACAACCCAGTTATGTATCGCCACATCACAAATTTGTCGAACTGAAAAATTAAATTAAATTGTTATTTGAAACAGTTAAAATAATTAAATTGTTAAAATTAAATACAACCACATATATATATATATATATATATATATATATATATATATATATATATATATATATATATATATATATATATATATATATATATATATATATATATATATATATATATATATATATATATATATATATATATATATATATATATATATATATATATATATATATATATATATATATATATATATATATATATATATATATATATATATATATATATATATATATATATATATATATATATATATATATAAGCTTAAACCCCAAACATAAGGGTTCCCCATGACTCTGCCCCTGGAGTATTGTGAGAGAGGTTAATCACGGGATGTACCCCAACAGGTCAGAGAATAAGGGGAGTGTATTCAATTGGGATTTTTAAAAACTTTTGGAGACTTTTTAAAGTGGGTGACTTTTGTGGACTTTGTGAATTTGAAGTGATTTCTATGAATTTGATAGGAATTAATAAAAGTTTTTCCTGAATTTGTGGAGACTTCTATTAGAGACTTTTAAAAACTTTTGAATATATATATATATATATATATATATATATATAAGGTTAAACCCCAAACTTAAGGGTTCCCCATGACTCTGCCCCTGAAGTATCGTGAGAGAGGTTAATCACGAGATGTGCCCCAACAGGTCAGAGAATAAGGGAGGTGTATTCAATTGGGATTTTTAAAAACTTTTGGAGACTTTTTAAAGTGGGTGACTTTTGTGGACTTTGTGGAATTTGAAGTGATTTCTATGAATTTGATAGGAATTAATAAAAGTTTTTCTTGAATTTGTAGAGACTTCTACTAGAGACTTTTAAAAACTTTTGAATACTTTTTATATTTTTAAAAGAATATATTAAACATATATAATGTAATATATTTAACTTCTTATTTATTCAAGTCGTCTACAACTCATATAATTGAAAATGTAAAGTAATAAATCGTATTTTTCATGTCAATTTTTTCCCAAAAAAAAAAAAACAAATATTTCGCCAAACATAAAGTGCTTTTTCGTCTTATATCAAGTAAATTAACAAATAATAAAAATATTAAAAAAAAGGTATTTTAGTAATGATCAACAAAATATATATATATATATATATATCAAACATTTCCAACATCATTCCACATGTTAGAGAAGCCCTCCATGCATTAGCATTCTCTCTTTCTTGTTCTTGACTCTCAAAAAATGGTCCAAAGTCTTCCCCCTCATTAATCGAAAAAGATGAAGAATCTTCGTTATCGGGTTCGATTGGAAATTCATCGGATCGACATTCTTTCCGAAGAAAATTGTGTAATCCTGCACAAGCTAATACAAGTTCGGCTTGTGTACGATATGGAAATGGAGGAACTGTTTTGAAAATTGTGAATCTTGATTTAAATATACCAAATAGGCTAGAAATTTGAGCTCTAACTGATTTATTTTTTTATTCAAAAGGAATGATTTTGCGATTCTTATAGATTTAGTTCATTGAAATTCCATCCAATAAAACGGAAGAATTATAAATCTCCAAAATAATAGATAGAAATACTGCAAATAGAGCCATAGCGACACCCATCAAAGGAGACCTCTTTTTGAAGCCGGACTTGAGTTTGAGATTAGAGACCGTACTTGTAAAGAGCTCGGAGGATTGCTTTATAAGTGAATGAGCCATAGGTATGGCGCACAAGCGATGGAGTCCTCATTCTAGAGTTGGGGATCATGAGCCCCCGGGGGGCATTTCTTTAGAAAAAACAACACCAGAAGACCATTTTATTTCATGACTTTCATCTCATATAGGTAAAATTTTCAGTTAACCTTTAAAAAGCCTTTCATGACGAACTTATCTTCGACTGATGAGTCAATAAATTAGCAGGTGAATTACTCTCAGAATAAATCATGGCAAGTGTGTCTTACCATCTTCTCTGACGATGCCATCATGCCCATCAGAAGAATAGGATCTAATGCAACATCAGTGTAGATAATCTACATACACAGACATCATAAATTATCAAAGACAATCAAACTCCCATTTAGTGCCACCCAATCTTGAAAGACTACAACCCCCCTCAGTGAAGAATAACATACAAGATCAGGATACTTGTCTTTTAACAGCCGTATTGTTCGAGGCACTAAACCATTTTCATTGTAAGCTTCATCTCCTGTAGAGGTCTGAAAGAGAAGAACCCATTAGTTAAATCAAATAACAAAATAAGAAAGTATTTGGGCAGAAGAAGAACCTTTAAAGCATCTGGAACTTTTGGAAAAAGCACAATGCTGTTAACACCGACATCCCGAGCCTCAGAGACCTGCATGAAGATATGTCAGCGACTACACTAATCATTATTGAGGATATTACTTACCATGTGCACAAAAAGTAACTAGAAAAAATAATAGTTACTTGAACATGAACAATTTAATGGTAAATAGACGATAACATTTTCTTGGATTTGTTTCTACAGCGTACTAGAATTCAAACTTCGAAGTGGGTGTGCACTCAGGTATTTCAGATTGATTATATTGCTAAGATCCCCATAGTATAAATCACATGGATGTGTGCAAACTTCGGGCTTGGTAAGAGCTTTCTAATGATATACAACAATTTTTCTTGAATAAAGAATCTATTAATCGATTGGTGTATAGCACAAATCGGAGCATCGATATGAACAACTCAGAGTAACTGCTTATGCAAGTTAGACACACACGACAATTTGCATCTGGTTATAGATAGCTATGTCATCATAGAATGTTTCATGCAGAAGGCATAGCTGGTAGAGAACGTGACAACGCTCCTTTTGTGTTCATATTGCCACGCACGGTCAGTTTATGTTTAGAAGACACATTCAGAACTACGTTCTAGAGAAAAAATTTGGGTTAGAGTGCATGGAAGAACTCCATCATGTTCAAATATAAAAGACAAGCAAGAGGACAGTAACCTCTTCTACAAGTCCATGCCTCCAACCTAACCTATAACATCCAGGCATTGCCCCAATTGGCGTGTCCTCTTCACCTGCATATCATGCAAGATGATACATGTATCAAGCAAGCTTAAAACGATCATCATCATCCAAGTTTGGAATCTCCTTGATAATGTTCCAACAATTAGGCTCTCTGGTGTCAATTGATTCAATTGCTTGAGTGATCTTGCCAACTGTACTAGCAAGTTTGTCTATAATGTTTGATTGAGTGCTTTTGGGCTCAAACGAACTAGATTTTGCTTCAAATTCTATTCTACTTCATTTTCGAATTGGTGGGGAAACCTCCGAACTTATAAAATCTTGCTTATCACTTACTATAAATGTTTCAGTATCAGGATCATACATGAAGTCATCTATTAAACTGTTACTAACTCTTCTTTCTTCAATATAAAAAGTTCTTGCATCAGTATCATCCCCTAATGCAATTGAGTGTGTCCCAACAGCTGTCCCACTTCCAACTGCAATTCTCAAATCCTCATAGTCTGGAAAAGTGTCTGGGCGATAACTTTTATCTTCGGGATGTGACTATTAAAGAAAAAAAAATATGTATGAGTGCTACTATATGAATCATACACTTCACTAACCAATAACTCAAATTTCACATGTTTCTAAATCAAGTAATAAAGGAAGCTCACCATAAAGTAATCGTCCCATATTTCATCACTAGTAGTGAATTTCTTCGTCACATGATCCCATCCAAACCCAGAGTTATGACGCATAAGCTTAGAATACTTGTTGTACTGTTTTTTAAACCATTTCACACGACTTTTATACTGGGCATAAGTCTTTTCAATACCAAGTTTTTGGTTAAGATGAGGAAGTATATATTTCTCTACAGTTATCTTGCTCAACCAATCATTACTATCACGCCAACCACGTGTGGCAGCATCAACCATGAGTTTTAAAAGCTCATTGCTTTCTTCCGACGTCCATTTCTCATATTTTTCAGTACATTTTCCCTGAACCTTGTCATTTCCTTGCGTTGAATCTTCCATTAGAACTAGTGTCATACAATTAGAGAACAAATATTTAGGCAAATACAAAATGATATACAAAATGAGCAACAAAAAGTCAAGCAAACATAGCTACTCGAGTTACAAAAAACGAACATTTCATGAAACAAACTGATCATGTCTATATAACAACTTCCCATGAACAAAACACTCTATAAACATTCTACAAACGCGTTTGAAGAGAGGTTACTGTAAAACAAACCTCCAAAGATAGACCGTGAACATAAATTATAAGCTTCCCAAGAACAAAACACTCTATAAACATTCAACTAGTTTATAACAACTTCAAAATTTCAAAGATAACAAAAGTGCATAACAACATTGTAATCTCCACTATAAATTCTAATGAGCAGCAGCATTGCCATCATCATCCAGTTTCCACTTATTTAATTTTCAGACATCCAACCTCAGCTTCATTTGGCATCATATTTGTCTAGCTCTTTGCTCTCTCCCTACATTGACTTTAATCACGTGCCTTATCACCATCCATTGAAATGATAACAACTCTTGCCACCAACCACTCTATCCCCAACTCCCAAACTGACAGCATCCCCACAGAGTAAGAAAAGATTAGAACTCAGATGCTAGACTAAAATTTCAAGCTCCAGTATGCAACAATGATTCATCAATGTAAAATTATTTCACTTTCTTGTTACATGTCATTCCGTTCTCTATATCCTAATAAGAACAAGTCCCTCCAATTATAAACAAACTTAAGTAGATAAAAATTCATTTTTTCTGTTGCCATCTTCATTAACTAGGAACCATAAAGGCGAATTCTCTCTCCAAGCTTATTAGACCTATTGTTCAATGAAAAACTTAATTGTCTTGATTCCAGGCAAGACCAGCCAACCAATTTGTTTTTATTCTCCTTCACTAATAACAAAGACATAATATGTGAATACAATACCTTCACATCTGAATTGAGAACATAGCAGAAAACATTATTATATATCTGAATCAACTTGAAGGTAAAAAAAACTAGATCAGTTGGTTCAAACTGAGAAGAGGACTGAATGGCAGAATGACATTTGTCTTCGATCTTCATTAGTTATTATGAGTTGCCCTTTACGTTTTCCCCTGTACTTTTCAACCGGACTACTGTGCATTCTAGAGAGAGAGAGAGAGAGAGAGAGAGTGATGGGTAAGCAGCCGGTGAGAATGAAGGCGGTGGTTTACGCCTTGTCTCCTTTCCAGCAGAAGGTGATGCCGGGCCTCAGACGCAAGTTAGTACTCTGGCAGTGCTCGACAATTTACTGATTGCTGGGGGATTTCAAGGGGAGATTATTTGTAAGATAATTCTATCTCTTGAAGAATACTTTATCTGCAGTATCTGTTCTCAATTCTCAAATATGGTGTATCATGGGAAACGACGTGTATAACATGACTTTTAGCATGTATCACTTTCTCTATTTGAAGTCTCTCATTTTCATATGATAAGTTTTAATTTTCGAGGTGTCCGTCTTTCTTCATTTGCAACCTTAATATATAAAAAAGAAAGATAACTTTTTTTCTTTTCTCTGATAGGCAGAAGTGATAATCAAGGACTTATATGTTTATGGACTGTTTCATGTTTGATGCAGTATCTGGACCGACCTGGGGTTACCTTTTGTACCAGGACAACTTATGATGACAATGCAATCACATATGCAATTGAAATCTATGACAGTCCTAGGTTAATCTCATTCTCCTATTTAATGCCGACCCACCCCCTTTACATCTATCTTTAAAGGTATACTAGGACTAATTGGCTTTAAATCACTATCAGTGGCACTGTTCATTTCATGGCTACAAATAATGATTGTGGAGTACGAGTGTTTGATATGGAGAGATTTCAGCTTATAAAATTTCTGCAGAAAAATAGAGGAGAACGGGAAAACCAAAATATGCATTGCAGCAACTATGGTGCAAACAAAAGCAACTTAGAACAAACAAAATTTGAAGATGAATATAGAAAGATGTAGCATGCAAACTTGTACCTTCAACACATCATATGAGCAACCATAGACAAATTTCAATTTACTCCTCATATCAAGAACAGATCCAAGTGCAACAAATATCAAGCTATTGGAAACATGTTCAAGAACCTCCACCAAAGAAAATTCCAGCAAACTTCTTATATATTTCCCATCACAGTAGAAAAATGTCTAAATGAAACTCAACTTCCCCAGTATATGAACATGGAAAATAGCAGTTATATAGACATTCCATTAAATAAGACTATATGTAGTAAATTTCCAACAATATTTGATCGTTGCCAAACTTCAGAGCATAATCCACTACATAGAGCAGAAAAATGACGTCAAATGAGCATCCATATACAAATTTCAATGTACTCATGTCAAGAAAAGATCCAACTGGAACAAATATCATAAACTCCCCAGAGTCATCTTCTTCCAGTTCGCAATTTTGGAGATGGTTTATCCATAAATCAAACAAAATACTCATATAGAGGGAAAGATAGAGAGGTGCAGAGCTGATTACCTGATTGAAGGAGATGAAACCCTAGAAGAAAAACAATAGCCCTATTACTATTACGTGAGACCTTCACTTGTGGGAAATCTCTCGACTGCTGAGAGATTTTTTTTGTGAGAATTCTATGTAGGTTTTTTACCAAAAGTCTCCAAAAGTCCAATAAATTATAAATTCCCTGAAAGTCTTTCTTAATTGAATACTCCGAAACTTATAGAAACTCTTATAAAGTTTTAATTGAATACCTCGAAACTTATAGAGACTTTTTAAAAGTCTTTAAAAGTCTCTATTGAATACACCGAGACTTTTAGAGAGTCTTTAAAAGTCTCAATTGAATACACCGAAACTTTTTAAATTTTCCAAAGTCTTTAAAAGTCCCAATTAAATACACCCCCCTAAGAGTTGTCTGTACACTGGTGCCCACAAAGAGTTTCAATCCATGTTTTAGGAATCGAATTCTGACACTGCGTCTGCCTGCAAGACTAAGTATATCTCAGCAAAGGACTTACTAGCCACTTCAGAGGCTTGTTCTTCAGACAACTTGGCTGCAAATCCTCTGAAACCATGTCTGTAACTATAAACATGAGAAGCCCTGGCTTCTTCATCGCTGCGCATTTATAGCAAATCATTAATTGACAAGCAGCAAAAATAACAACAGAAGAAAAATAAAATGAACCCTTTTGAAAACGAATGATACAGTTCAATAAGGATCAAGAAAGAGACCTTCCCTTATGGACAGCAGTAAGCATTTGGTGGTTTGCCCTGAAAATCTCATCTGGGTCATCACTACCTTTGCTTCCCATATACACCACGTACAACTGGAACAAAAAAATTGCAACCAGACATCATATTTATACATAAAACAAATCATAATCCATTCACATACATGTATATATTACTGTTATGCAAAGGAAGCAATACCTCCGATGAAACTGATGGGCTAATCACTTCAAGAAAAACAAGAAGAAAAAGACTTAGCAGAACTCTATTTCTGGTATTTCTATATGAACCCATATCTTATTTCTTTGTCCAAAATCACAAGATTGCAGATAAGAAGATAAAAAAGAATGATCTGAAATAAAGAGGAGAGAGAAAACTCAAAAAGACTACTCTCCTACCAGTGGAATATGTCGAGGAATTAGACTCTATATATACACACACAAAAATTGAATAGTGAGAACAAATTTTAATGGAGGGTTGAAATCCACTAACAAAGGGTAAAATGCTGAAACGGGAAGAGTGGTGATGTTAGGAAGAAGAAGATGATCTTTGCTTTTAACTGAACTAACCCACATCCGCCCCCGTTCCCATAATCCCATTACCCACTGAACACAATCCATCAGTTAAAATTATTCCATTTGGTACAATATCTGTAAGAATGCCATCATTTCTGATTCTGATGAAACAAAGAAATATGAATATAAGCAGGGACCTATGGGTTGTTAGCCCTTGTTTGAGAAGTTATTGTTGTTAGAATGTATTTTTGAATAGTGTAGTAATGAAAAATATATTGTTAAAAAATTTAAAAAAATGATTTATGTTTAATA